TTGTAAAGTGGTTAAAAACGCAGGTATATACATCACAATATATGTAGTTAATTAAGTTATATATTTAATTAAGTTATATATTTAATGAAGTTATATATTTATATGTATATGTTAATGATCTAGGTTGATTATGATGACCCGTTTTATCCTCCGTGGTTACATGAATTGATACAAGGTCTGGTCGCGAAGGTCACCAAAGCATCTATGTATTTCACACGTGGTTACACTTTTCACACTTACGAATATGGAAACCAGCGAGCAACAATAAACTACGGAGTATGTGTGAAAGGTGAAATACATTTCTATGGAATTTTACAAGAGATCATCGAAGTAGTTCCCTGGCATGAAGCAGAAATGTGTTCTCTTCAAATGTGAGTGGTTTGATCCCACTGTCAATAGAGGTGTCAGGTATAACAAGTTTGGTGTTGTTGATATAAATGCTACACGGAGGTACAACAAATTTGAGCCCTACATCTTGGCTTCTCAAGCAGACCAAGTTTGTTTTATTCCGTACCCAAGGATCAGACAATCTGGAAGTTCTTGGTTAGCCGCTATAAAGGTTACACCTCGGGGTCGGGTATTGACTGATGAAGAACCGCCTTTGCAAGAAGATGCCGTAAATGCAGTAGAAGTACCTGAGCAAGCTGTTGATGATATCGTACTTGTTAATCAGTATAATCCGAGATATGAAGAATTTCCAAAAGATATCGATGAAGCTAACAAAGATGAATTTGAAGAAAATGATGAAGTGGATGATGATGTTTCTGATGCCGAGTGATTAGGGTTGGCGTTTGTATCATATTTATGTTATTTCCAACTTATCATTAGTATTTTGTATAACAGTTATGATATTGGCGTGTTTGTGTTTTATATATGTTGTTCCCGAGTGATTAGGTTTGATGTATGAGTTTTGGGGTTTAGGGTTTCACAAGTGATTAGGTTTGATGTTTGAGTTTTGGGGTTTAGGGTTTCACAAGTGATTAGGTTTGATGTTTGAGTTTTGGGGTTTTAGGTTTTGGGGTTTAGGGATGCGGTTTACAAGCAAACAACATTTCGACTCTAAATTGTCCCTCATTGGTCGTAAATTGTTGTCCCACATTAGTCGTAAACGAAGGGTTTTGTCCTTTATTGGTCCTTCATTAGTCGTAACCAGCCGTCCCTAATTGGTCGTAACCGAGTTTGGTCCCTGATTAGTCGTAAATTGCGGACCCTAATTGGTCGTTATTTATTTTTGTCCCACATTGGTCGTAAAATTACGACTACGTTCCTACTAATGGTCCCACATTGGTCGTAACGTTACGACCATTGTACGACAAACACGATTTTCTATATATACACGGACACCGTTGAAGCAATTCAGTTGCTCATCATCCCTACTCTCTAACAACGACTCAGCTTCCTCTCTAGGTAAGTTTTTTTTTTTTTTTTTTAGTTTTTCTTTTGGTTTTAGATTTAGGTGGTTAGTTAGGTGATTAGTTAGGTGATTAATTTAGGTTTGAAATTAGTTTAGGATTGATATAGATTATGTCGGAATTAGTTAGGTGATTAGTTTAGGTTTTTAAATTTCAAATTTGATTTGTTTTTAATAAACGACCCGGCACGTTTTGGTAATTATTTTAATTAAATTAATTTTAGTTTTAATTTTATATATGTAACAATTAATTAATATATTTTTAAAAAAATTTTTATAGGTTTGATACCGACAATGATTTGGGAGGTAGCGTTGGAGAGATGATCAGGTCTAATTTTCGGTATGCGCATCCGAACTGGACTCTTACACCAGATCACGTTCGTGTTACTTGGTTCAAGTGCTTCGCGGTAAGTTTTAAATATAATTTTATATTTTTTTGATTTAAAGATTAATAATTTGATTAATTAATTATAATTTTTTTTATAGCAAAAATGGAATTGGTCTATTGGTGTCAACGAAGAGGTCAAGGCAGGGTTCAACAAAAGGGTGGCTGCTCGTCTAAGGAACATCGTTGGCGATTGGAAGGAGAAATGGAGGCAAAAACATGATCACGCAAAGAAGAGCTACCTCAGCGATGACGTTTGGAAAGACTTGAAGGCTTTTTGGATGTTGCCTGAATCACAAGATAAGTCTGCCAAGTACTCTGCCGTCCGGATGACCCCTGATGCTGAGGGCAACCCGCCGGTGCCTCATACTTCTGGGCAGACTCCACATGTTAAGAGGGCGCTACAAATAGTATTTGATATTTTTAGTTCTTATTAACTTATTTAACATACAAGTTAATTTAATTAATTTGTTTTTTAATATATATAGGCTGCCAAAGAAGGAGCACCACCATCTCTCGCCCGCCTTTACAAGATCACACACCAACATTCCGATGGCAGTTTCTCGCATCCTCGAGCAGAGAAGATCTACAACGACGTAGAGGCTAGGATCGAGGAGGTTCAGACTCAGCTGTCGCAACAAAATCCGGGTGGTGCACCGGTCCAGCTTTCCGCCATCGAGCAGGACAAAATTTTTGAGCAGGTAAAATATACGTTATTTGTTTTATATACATTTTAAAAAATTTTATTTAATTTTTACATATGTTAATTAACTAAAATTTTTATGATCAATTGAAGGTTTCCCCGAAGAAAAGGGGACGTATAGTTGGGATCGGGTCCGTGAACGATGTTCCGAGAGCAAGAGCTGAGTATGCTGCAAGAATAGATGAAGACTCCTCTCTCCGGTCTGATTTGGACGCTGCCAACAAAGTCATCCACGAGCACAATGACAAATTTAAGGCTATGGAAAATTTGCTCGATCTGATGATGCAGAACTCGAACCCGGCCCCGACTGTTGTCTCTGCATGGGAGGCTCTACGACCGACCTTAAACCCCACTGATGCTGAGCCCACTCTGGAAGAGCAGGCGGAGTTAGAGCGACGGGCGGACCAGTCCGGTCTCTTCGACGACATCAATCTTAATGCATAGTTTTTTTTAGTTTTATTTAATTAGGATAATATGTGGATATATTATGAATATTATATGTTTTTCGGTTATGTATTATGGATATTATGAAGGTTGATTTTATATTTTCTATTTTATATCAAATTTAAATAATAAATAATTTAAATCACCAATTTATTTTAATTAATTATCAATAATACTACAAATAGTTTACGACCAATTGACTACAAATGATTTACGACCAATGAACTACAAATGAATTACGACCAATGAACTACAAATGGTTTACGACCAATGTACTACTAAGAATTTATGACTAATTAACTACTAATGCATTTACTACACCTTTACGACCACATTATTTACGTCTACTGTACGACTAACTAATTGGTCGTAATTTTACGACCACAGTACGACTAACTCCTGTTATCATAATTTACAACCATTAATGTATTACGACTAGTGTCTAACGACCAATCACACTTCGTCGTTACTTAGTCGTAATAGCCCTATTACGACTAACTAACAACAAATTGTGTGGTCGCTATAGACTTGTTTTCTTGTAGTGTATGAATAGTATCCGCTAAATATTGAGATAGTACAAACGAACAGACTGATTTTTTTACTAATTCTCAAGGTGTCAGCATTATTGACCAGTTTCCTCATTGAATAGTTCTTACAGCCAAAGAAAATATGACGAGTCAAGGAAGACACTGATCTCTAATCTCTTATATTACTTCTATACTCTGTTTTGCAAGTGAGAGTAATGCCACAGGTACAAAATAACATAATGAACATGAACGAAGGGGTCCACAAAGATGCCACAGATAAATCACATATTTGCCATCAATATGGGAAATCCAAAATTAGGGGCCAAGTTGTTAAAATATAAGCTCGGATCCTTGAAACTAACTCTTCTTTTATCCACAGTAGTGGTTTGAGAAGAACTCAGATTTTGGGATCCGTCTCTATAAGATTAATTCCCACCGACCAATGATAACTTAATTGTGGCTATTAACTTATTAAAAAGCAAGGAAAAATAATATGCCAGCAAAACGTCGAGGAGGTTAAACAAATCAACAAAACACAAAAATCGTTGCTCCACAATTAACGACAAGACCATCACTCCACCATGAGCCAGCAACTCTCAATTAGGGTAGAAACCTGAGTAGAGAAACACACACTTCCAACCCGACTGAGCTGTAGAAGAACGAATATTGCAGAACAGAGCCAAGCCACAGAAGATCCAAGACCCACATAAGGAAGCAAACACTTGGTCTTCACCTTCGTACTCGTCAAAAATTACCGAACTGCTCGTCAGCTACCAAATATGACCTAAGAAGAACCAAACTCAACTCACCATGATCACAAAACACAGACAAAAAATACAGAAGTATAACAGAAAAGTAAAAAACATGAAAAGAATGAAGTAGAAACGGCTAATTCTCAGCGACCGCACGCAGGAGGTGGCGGCCACAGAAAGAGAAGAGACTAGGATTTTTTTTTTTTTTTTTTTGTTAGTGATCATTATCTTATATCTCAGCATTAACTACTCTAACCATACAAATTTTAAATGAATTTTATTGTTGCTCTTTATTGCATGTGATACACTTTAAAAAAAGACTAGGAGTATATTTTATGCCTAACAAAAAATTCTTACTTATATTCTTAAAAAAAAAAATTCTGGTATGAAGGTTAAGAGACTTAAAATGATTTATCTCAAATGTTAAAATATTATATGAACTTTCATTTAAGATGACTTTTAGTTTATTGATTTGTAGTAGGACGATTTTTGTGTTACTATATTAAAAGGTTATATCTAGTTCATTGAAGTTTTCCTCTCTTGAGAATATTTTGGTGCCATTGCCTGATAAAGGAATTAGAGATAATTATAACGGAAACGAAAACGGAATAATAAATACCAACGTCACTAAACAGAAAATAAATAAATATTTTTAACATATAAACAAAACTAATAATTATTGACAGAAAAGAAACAAAAGGGCATTCGAACTCATCCGAATATGATGCTCTATAAATAGAAAGAACCCCTCACCAGTTTGTTCTTAAGACGAGCACAAGCCAACCCCCACAAGCGGTGTCTCACCTCTATTCTTGACAAATATTATTTTAAAGAGAGATATGGGCTTAAAGATGTCGGAATCAGCTAAACCCTATTTTGCGATGATATGCCTTCAATTCGGATACGCTGGCATGAACCTCGTTACCAAGGTTGTGCTCGACCGCGGCATGAGCCATTTTGTCCTTGTGGCTTATCGTAATTCCTTTGCCACTGCCGCTATAGCACCTTTCGCCCTTCTCTCAGAGAGGTAACATATCAGTTAGAGATCTATTTTCATCTGATACAGAGTTCGATTCTCACTTGATGCATGCAGGTTAAATAAATCTGACACTAGTAACTTCTTTTCTTCGTATATGTAGGAAAGTGAGGCCGAAGATGACTTTCCCTATATTCATGCAAATATTTGTACTAGCTCTTCTTGGGTTAGCTTCTTGACTTATCAGTTTTCAAAACATTCGCTTCGCTTGACCTTGACATGTATATTAATATTTTTGTATTTATATTTTTTGTGAATTCTTTACTACAGGCCAGTGATCGATCAGAACCTTTATTACGCCGGTCTTAAACTCACTTCACCGACTTTTGCCGGCGCCGTCACCAACATCGTGCCCGTTTTGACCTTTATCATTTCCATAATTTGCAGGTATTTAATTAAACTTAAAGAACAAGTTTAAAATTAAATTATATATAACGGCAAGCAAATACAATAATTTTAAAGATGTATGATCTAAATGTTTTGGTTATATAAAAAAAAGGATGGAGAAGGTGGAGATGAGAAAAGTAAGATTCCAAGCAAAAGTGGTGGGGACATTAGTGATAGTGGTTGGAGCCATGTTGATGATTTTATTCAAAAGCCCTCTAATCAACTTTCTCCAGTCTCACCTCATCCGTGAAGCTTCCTCGCCGTCCGGTGAGGACTACCTCAAGGCCACCGTTTTCCTCCTCATCGCATCGTTTTCTTGGGCTTGCTTCTTCGTTCTTCAGGTACTTAAATTAAATTTTCAAGATGGCCTAAGCCAATAAAGTTTCTAAATTTTATTTTGTTATTAAAAAGATTTAATAAATATTTGATTTGCAATAATTTTAATTAACATTTTGTTCTAACGAGTTAGAAAACTATCTTCTTTATTTCTTTAGGCGGCTACGTTGAAGAGATACTCATCTCACATTTCATTATCGACGATGGTGTGTTTCATGGGAACGTTACAGTCCACAGCCCTAGCGTTTGTGATTGAACCAAACCTTTCTGCATGGAACATTGCCTTTGATATGAACCTTCTAGCCTCTGCTTATGCGGTTCGTCCTTCTTCATGGTTATATATATAAAAAATTTGTGAAATATATGGAATTTCAATAATTATTTGATATGTGGATGTATACTTATATAGGGTATTATGTCGTCGAGCATAGCGTACTACGTGCAAGGGATGATGACGAGACAAAAAGGCGCTGTATTTGTCACTGCCTTTAACCCTCTTATTGTCATAATTGTATCCATCATTAGCTTTCTTATCCTCGGCCAGAGATTATACCTTGGCGGGTAAGCAACCAATAGATTTGACCAATTAGGTCACATGACACCATCTTCATATTGTATTTAAACTACTAATATTTTTGTTTTCAATCCTGAAATTTTAGGGTTCTTGGGATGGTGATACTAATGGTGGGAGTCTGTGTGGTTCTGTGGGGAAAGGAAGGGGATGAAGAAGAAAACAGTGAGGACATGTTTCCAGAAGTTATCAAATGTTGTAAAGGATGCAGAATCAATAGTCCTACGATGCCAAGAATTGATGAGGAAGTAGATGTTGAAATGCAATCTACCATGAAAGATAAGATGGTGGTGGATTTGTTGTAGTTCTCGTGAGTAGAAAAGATGTTCACGAGCTTAATTAGATGCTTAAATCCTTTTTAGATAGAGGAGCAGCTTTTGCTTTGTTATATATTATGCTCCAATCTTTTGCTTTTAGGTTTTGTTTTATAATCTTCTTATTTAGTAGGGAAATTATGAATAAATAAATGTTCCGCTCGTACCTCTTAGACCAATCAGATTAATTAATATTCGCGTTCATGCAGCCGACCAGACATTTTTTTTTTTTTTTTTTGAGCAACAGCCGACCAGACATATAATCCCATTTTAATTCAAATGTGTTATTGAGGATATGAGAGTTTGTGAGGGAAAGGGGAATTGAATACTCTCATAAGATATTGGTTAGGAACATACACTTATATGATGATGATCAGATGATTGCAAGGATCCATGATGAATCTACCTAGTCTCTAGAAGATAAAAGCACAACATATTAATCAACACATTATTTTTAATATCTTGTAGCTAGATCAAAATTTTACAGTACATACATGCACAATATATTTGACATCCCTTTATTATTAAAAGGGAAGCAATTTAAAAAAACAACCTTCTTTGAGTAATTTTATTACAAGTTTGCCATTTTGGCTGAGGTGTCATCACCACAATGTTCCTTAGCTTCAAATTTTAACAACCCTTCTTTTACTAGAAAAATTACAATATGTGCCATTGGTATTCATATGATATATATCATAGTTTTTAATTAAATAAAATTAAATACACATATTTTTCTCAATAACCTTTCATACGCATGGTAATAAACAAATACCAATTTTACCACATTGAAGGACATCTGAGAAAGATAGGTATTTTAGCATGATTAGTTAGCCGGTGTTGTTGGGTATCTCGCCGATAATCGATGAATGATAGAGACAAGTTTAGAGCTTTAAGGTTGGAGAGTAGAGTAATCGGAGTGGATATTGATCATTTTATCAGATCATCTGATGATCGATGAATGTTTTAAGGTGTTGCCGGAGAGATTCGCCTGGGAGATGGTGAAGGAGTTGATATTTTGCATGTTTCTGAGGATGACGAAGTGAACATAGGTGGAGACGGGAATGGAGAAGACGGTGTGGTCAGTGAGGTTAATGAGACGAGTGAGATAGAGTCCTGAGAGGCCGTTGTGGCGGCGGAGTAAGGAAGAAACAGTGGAGGAGTGGGGAAGTCAGAGAGAGGCGAGGTGGTGCGGAGAGAGCTTTGAGTGTTGTGGAGGAGATGGAGGGAAAGGAGGAGCAGTTTGTGAAGGGGATAGAGGTGACGAGGCGGAATGGAGAGCCGGCGTTGCAAGTTACGACGTTGGTGGAGGTTTGGAGGAGGGATGGTGGTCGCATGGGTTTTGCGGTGTTTTGCTTTCAAATTAACACAACTCTTCCTTTAAGTTAGTGGACACACTAATGGGAATACTCTATGCATGTCATATTTATTTTCTTTCCTAGGATCTCTGTGTATAGATTGATTTTTATTTTTGTCCAAAAATCAAAAAAAAAGATTGATTTTTATTTTATCTGAGGATTTGTATCGGAGTTTCAGATGATTGGTTTAAACAATGTACCCATTTCTGGTGACGAATTTGAGATTGTCTCTTCGCTTGATGTGGCGCATGAGATGGCAGAGGCACCTGCAGTATAGCTACGAGTCTGCAGATGCTGGGGATGGAAATATCACGCTTTCATCATTAGCTTCTGATGTCTCAACGAAAAAGATGTCAGTCTTAGATTTGCATCAGCTTAATATCATTTTTGAAGGTAGATGTACATGTAAAAAGTCAGTTTGATCAGCATGCTTCAGCTCATTTTCTTAAAATATTTTGCTTTCCAATGTCTTTTCTTAATTATGCTGATGCAAAACACCAATATGACTACTAGGGATCCATTGGAGCTGCCAGACGCAAGTCCTTCCTCAAGAGAATGTGACCTGACAGATTTTTGCTACAAGTGATAGGAGATGTGAGCAACAATGATGATGAGATCTCTAATTAGATCATAAAACGTAGGTTGTAGTGTCACTTCATGAGCCATTTTGGAGTTTTGAAAACTGAAGATTCGTGTGGCCATTGATAGGAACAACTCTCAACTGGGGCAGGAGAAGTTCGAGCGACTTTCAGCAATGGAAGCGGTCGTGTGAATGAAGGGAAGTTTGTCAAAGACTATGGCATCGGGGTGATCCAGAAGGGTAAAACTGTCTATGTTGGGGTCCTTGATTCTCTTAAGCGTGTCAAAGAAAAGAAATAAGGTAAACATTTTCCACGACTAAAAGATAGGTTCCACGACTTGCCTAAGTTGTCTATATAAACTTCTATCTGTTTGAATTGGTGTAGGTGAGTGCTGGATTAGAATTTGTTATGGGGTATGGACGATTAAATTGAAGGAGCCACCATCAAAGCATTTTAATGTGGTTCAAAATAGGAGAACGCTAGAAGAAGCATCTGCTGCAGTTGAAGAGGCTTGAGTTTGAATTGTAATTGTAGTCATCAAAGAAGCTCAAGCAAACGTCGTGAGTCGTTGGGTCTTACTCTGCAATACAAACAGCTTTTACTCTATTATTATTACTCCTTTGTGTTTTTAGTGTGCAAGTAAAATCCACGTCTTGTGATGTTTTTTTTTTCTTCCAAAAAAACATTAAGGATATGTAAACACACGCAAACAAAAAGAGTAGTTACTTACGAGGAATGTTTACAGGTGAAATGTAAAGGCATTTTCTTTGGGTTACCAAAACTCTTGCTTTCTTAAAGAACAAGTATATGTCTTCTTCATAATACGATTCTTGCCCAATTTTAAAAAAACCAGACCAACCGGTCGTGACTCGCCTACCTTACCGTATCTGGATTTCTCTATAAACCGGATTTTAATTAATCTGTCAAAACCGGTTTAAACCGATAAAACTTGCAAAAACCGGTAAATCGGTTCAATATCAACTCTGGTTTAAAAAAAAGTTGAAGTAAAAAAGAATAAAAATTTCAACAATCTGGTATACAAAAATCACATTAGTTTAAGATAATTACAGAATTATATTATTTCAAACATTTTTTATTTTATTTTATAATTATAATACTGATAAAAAGAATATCAATTTATTTTTATATTTTAGGTAATTAAAAATAAAATAAAAACACTGGCTTAATCAGTCCAGTCATTGACGCAATCACCATATGGAATAAATGCATGATCTAAAATATAATTATAATACTGATAAAAAGAATATCAATTTATTTTTATATTTTAGTTAATTAAAAATAAAATAAAAGCACTGGCTTAATCAGTCCAGTCATTGACTCAATCACCATATGGAATCAATGCATGATCTGATTTCTATTATATTATTTCAAACATTTTTATTTTATTTTATAATTATAATACTGATAAAAAGAATATCAATTTATTTTTATATTTTAGTTAATTAAAAATAAAATAAAAACACTGGCTTAATCAGTCCAGTCATTGACTCAGTCACCATATGGAATCAATGCATGATCTGATTTCTAAAACACTGGTTTGTATTAAAAAAATTAATTCAATATTGTACATTTTTTATAATATCAGCTGAACCCAATGAATTAAAAAATAAATTATTTTCTTATTTTTATATAATTTCATTCCGCGCAAGGCGCGGGTCTTTACCTAGTTTGAACAATTCACAATACAAATATTTAACAAGTCACCAAATCCGTGGCTGCAGCCTTATGCACAATTATCTCAATGGCTAACTTGACATTTGCATCCACGGGTTTAGCTCAATCTCCTGAACCAGACCGCTACCTTGATCAATGTCTTGCAAAGATATCTTCAAGGTGTGCGATGTATGCCATGGCTGAAATGTATCGCCATGGTTCGCCGAAACAAAACAGATGTTGCCTAGAAATTTATCATATGGGACAAATTTGTCTTAACCTCGTGACAAGGCATATGATCGAAGCCCTTGTACCCAAGCTTGAAGCTGCTCAAAAACAAGACCTTGTTGACAAAGCCACACAAATATGGTACCTTTATGTCCCAGTAAAATTTTTTTTTATCTCTAATATCTATATAAGAATTATAATTCGAGTTTAGTAGAGTTTTTTTCTTGGTTCTCTAACTAGCGTTGTAAACAATTTAAATAACTTTGAATCAAGGATGGCAACAATATTATCATAGAAATAACACTGAGAGATTATCATCAATTCATCATCATTTTCCAGTGGAGAATGTACATATCTACTAAATATATGTGATAAACACTAATCGGATGAACCAAAACTACTTTATATACAAAAACAGTTATCTTATATATATAAGATTTTTTTTTCTTTTCTCGGATGTAAGGTGCAAAGACACATTTTTGTGTTGCAAACCTCAACAGCTCTTTTACAAAAACTCTCTTCATTTTCCATACATACAGTTTCTTTTGTTGGTCTTGTTTTCATTTATACAATTACCTTGATGTTGTAACCGGAGGAGTTCTGCTTTTGCGTACTGCTGCTTCTTTGTTACAGCTTGAACGTTAAAAAGCAGTTTCTTCCGGCCTTTTTTTTTTGGTTTTACAGACAGATGATTACAAAGACTACTACTACTACAAGCAGCTTTGATGACACCCTTTTGAAGGTTGGACCAATGCTAGCCGATGCTGTTGATAAACAGATTACAGATTTGAGTTGAGTAAACCAACAAATCTATGGATGCATATGTTGAGAACAGAAAGAAAGACTTACATGGAGTGGGAGAAGGTGAGGGTGTTATTTCACCGCTTGGTCTTGATTCTGGTGAGAATCTTGCTGGAGGTGGGATATTAGCAAATACCACGTGGGGAAGTGGACTAGATACTGGAATAGCATGATGATGACTTGACGGTGTATGGTTTGGTGCTGGTGCGTGTTGCTGAGACCGGTGTGGTGCAGGCGTTGGTGTTGTTGCACTGTGATGATGGTTCAGAGCATTGTTTCCTTTTGGTCTCCTCTGCTCGTAAGGGCAAGGAGGTGGGCTTCTCCGGTGTAAATGTAAGTGTTTGGTTGGTTCAGATGCTGGTGCAAAGCTCTTAGATGCATGTGAAGGTTCTGGAGCAAGTTCATGATGGTGGTGATGATGATGGTAGTGGTGTTTGTGGATTTCAGGTTGAGGAGAAGGGGAAGGCGAAGGGGGTAATGATTTGACTGGTGAATGTGGTAAGACTGAGAAAAGACGGACTTGCTTAACCTTACCAAATACAGTGTGGTTTAGGCCTAAGTTTTTTGAATGGGAACTAGTGATGGTTTGAGCAAGCTGCTTGAGTCGTGATGAGGCTCCAAATGTGAGCAGAACAGAAGAATGAACTATAGTAGGAGGCGCCACCGTTGAGCCTCTGGAGTTCGACAAGGTTATGTACAAGTTCTGCGTTCAAACAAGACACAACTCTGAGCTTCTGAATCATTAACAATAGACTTCTTATTGAAATAGTCATTACCTCATAGGGAGCCAGGTTTATACCCTTCTTCAGCTGGCTAGTGAGTTCCTCGAAGTTAGATTGAATTTGGTAGATAGAAAAGTTTAATGTGAAATTGAAGAGAAGCTGTGCTTGCTGCAAGGGGAATACAGGATGGGAAGGGATCACAGTGATGCCTCCTGGGAACTTTAACACCTCAAAGAAGAAGGGTTGTCCAAACATGGATTCAGTCAAGCGGAAAGACAACTGTTTCGTGACCAGAATTTCAAAAGCTGACTTGATCAGACTCTCAATTTCAGTAGGTATCTTAGAGTTCTTCTGCTCGGGGTCGATTGCAAAGATAACCATTGTTCTGTTTAGATTCTCCCATCGTTCAAGTGCTAATACCTTAACCTAGCTCAAGAAAAGAAGCAGAAGTTACAGAATGATCAACAATGTATGCAATGAAAACAGTGAGATGGGGAATGGTAAGGTTAGTTACTTTGGTCATGGGAAAGCTTATTTCATCGGTTATATCATTCTCAAGCTGCAACAAATTGTCTTTCAAGAAGGAAACTGGTTTCTCAACATCAAAACTCGCCACTATTCTGTGATCTGGAAAAGAAACAAACACTCTATCATGAGATATCTCATCAAAACATACAGACATATCATGACCATATCATAAAAGAAATTGCAAGGAGGAAGTTATATAAATCAAAATAAATATTTATTTACAGCTAGGTCCACACATACTAAACTATGCACCGACTAGGTCTACGTTGTTAATTGATTCCACCAACCAACTAGCTTTTTCAGCCCAGGCAAGCTTAAAACAACATTCTAAAAATATTTATAGAAAAGTCCACCTTTTAAGCAGTGTTAATTACAATGCTAAATATGGAGTTGATGATTTATAACTTTATTGGAACTCCACAACAAGGTTTACATATAGGTTTCAACATATAATTTCATAACCAATAAAAGAAAAACACCTAAAAATAACCAATTCTAAGTCCAAAAGTCAATGGAAACATATACATTCCCTACATCATCTCCTCAAAAACCTAAACAATCCATTAAAGATTCATCAAAGGGTTGTCATGTTATAGAAAAAGATTCAAGCTTTTTACAGCTCATTCTCTCAGTTCATGTGAGACCTTAGATCTGCATCACTCAATTCACGAAGATGGAGATCAAAAGGATTGATTTTTAATACCTTTAAACCTTGGATCGAGATCTAGACCATCACGATCTGATAACCCCAGAAATGGAGGCAACCAAAACAAAGCGGAGAGAAAGACAGCAGCGGAGAAAGCAAGAATCAAAACGCATCTGAGACTAAACCATCTTGAGATCCTATCAGAACAGCAACATCTGTTTCCTTCGTTGTTCGTAGCTGTGTCTGCTCCGTTGTTCTCCGGGAGATTCTGCTCCTCGTCGCTGTTCTTCCCCATAAGAAACACAGATTCATTCACGAGATCAAAAGCTCATCCAACTGATTCTGCCGCACCCATTAAAAGGCTGGACGGCTTCTCCACCGGCGAAAGGAAACCCAAAAAGTTTTTCAAATTTGTTGCTCACGAAGGATGCGGTGGTTCAGGGAGACGACGGAGGGAGGAGGGAAGAGGAAGGAGTGAAGTAGCTTTCTCTCTTGTGAATGACAATAGGAGAACCTCTTGTCTTGTGTTCTGTCTGTAGCCTTTATCTTTGGCTTTTACTACATTTTTAACATTTGTTTTTAGTAATTTTTATGTTCCTTCCTAGAGCAGTTGTAGCACTAGTGGGAACCTCGTGTCTGTTTCAAATTCGAATTTTCTTTCTATTTATTATTTTATATTGTTATAAACAATGACATAAAATTATCGTTGTGTTAAGTATTAAACTTTTCCTTTTTGACAGATGTTAGTACTTACTAGTAAACTAGTAGAGAAAAAAAAAAATTAGAAGACAACGAAAACAAGTAATACACGAGCTAACCAGATAAGATTAGAAGCAAGAGTTTGACTGACAATTAAGCATACACATGTTACATGTATCTTTGACAAGTAGATGCAAATGCAATGCTCATTTGCCAAATTGATCTCTCATTCATTATATAAATACATGCATATCTTAATTATAGAAAAAATTTTAAGTGTATAAATTATATAATTATTCTTCTAACATATGATTGAAAAAATTTATTCACATTACTTAAATAAAAGTATTACATAAAAAGAAGAGAAAAAACTTCTAACAATTATAATTTTTTTTCTTTTAAGTTTTGTGTTATTATAACTGTTAAGTAAATTTAATTTTTTTTATAAAATATGTAGATTCATTACTTTTAAAAACTTTTATTTTATATATTATGCAAAAAATATTTTACAAAACAAATTTGTATCAAAACTTTAATATTATTTGTATTAATCAAAACGAATGAGATATCCATAAACATTCTTAAATATCCGTAAATATCTATTTATTTTCTGGATATTCGTTTTTATGGATATTTGTATATTTCCGAAACAAAACAAATAAAAAATAGATATTTGTAACATATGAAACAAATTATAAATACTTTGAAAAACTTAAATATCATATCCATGTCCAGGCCTACCAGTTTAGATCACTATTTGAATGTTTGAGAGGTGAAAAATAAAAACAATCATGAAAAGTAAGATGTGTGGGAAATTGAGAATTAGAAGTAAACTTGTTCAGAAGAAAAAGTAGATGTGAAATTTGGATCACGGAGGAAGAGACAAAAAAAAAGTTAGGTCAAAGGCTTTTGTCACTTTCCCTCTAAGGCAGAAATCTTGTGGCTTAAAAGCTTCTTCTTCGTCGGTGACAATGAGTTTTAAGATAGAGCTAGTTTCATGACATTTGTCTTTATTAAATAAACCACCATGTGTGGCTGCAATGCTATTTTACTGCTTAGTCAATTGCAAACCATGTGTGGTGTGGTGTGGTGTGGCTAATGCCATAATCTTAGCCTTGTGAAAAAAATAAAATAGGTCAAAACTCTAATTTCGATTGCTTCGTATATCCAACTTACATTTCTAAGAAAATTTATATGCCTTATTATTCTGGTGGAACATATCTAAACATTAAAATCGAAAAATACTTCAAAGAAAAAGGAATGGAATCTACCATTGAAATAACGTAGTTTGGTTATCTAACTATCACTTTCGTCTAAACTGAGACAAAACCTAAATATATTAATAATGAGATAGCTTTGCTAGCTTCCATGAATCATCATAGCTTCTAGTATAATAAGCTTTTGCTTGTTGACAAAAAAAAAAAAAACTTTTGCTTACCAAAGGTGTAAGTAAAACAAATGTAAGAATACCTTTGTGAAATAAAATAAGCTCAAAGCAACTGAAGAATGATACAATAATAATTATAATAAGAAACAGATCAAAGTTTGGCTGGCGCCAGCCGAAACATATACATTCATTCATCTATAAAAGAGACATAAATTGTTTTAATACTAATTCAGTAACATGCTAACATGTGTGATATATATTCCACTGAATAAAACACAAAGTTGATAAACCATAAGCCACGTAAAGATAAGATCTACCAGTAACTGAAAAAAGTGCAGAACAAGACAAAAGTATTCAAACAAAATACAAAAGACCAAAGTGAGATACAAAGCCTTAACAAGGAGTTAAGTATTTAGATTAGAACCCTTTAATAATCAAAAGGCCATCCACTATAACCCATATTGGATTGTTGCTGCTGATGTTGTTGCTGGTGATGATGATGATGATGATTATACTGGCCTTCTTCTGCAATAGCTGTGTTGTTTGTCTCTCTACGGTTCTGTGTGGAGCTTGAGCTAGACGAGCGGAACGGCCATAGATTAGAGAAAATGTTCCTTCTTCTATTAGTACTTCTATTCTGATCACTCTGTGTGCTTGAAGACGAGCCTCTTGAAGGTAACTCTTTACGACAAACCGGACACGTGTTATGCTGAACCAGCCAGGGCACAATGCAGTCAGAATGATAAACATGTTTACACGGCATCTGTTTAGCTTCTGACTTCAACTCAAACTCGTCTTTACAAACGGGACAGTGAGAGTCTGATGACTTGAGATGCTTCTGTGTGATCTTGATGGTTGGTAATGCATCGATAGATGATTTAGCTGCAGGTGGTGGACCTCTATGGTGAGTAGTAGTCCCTGATGAAAGCTGTTCAATCAGTTCTTCAAGACCTGGTCCGTAGAAGTAGTCTCCAGCATTGGTGTTGTTGCCACGAGTGATACCAATGGCAGGCGAGCCGTTGAGTAAGGCTTCAACTGAAGTATGATTATTAGCTTGGCCACCGAAGATCAAGAAAGGAGCTATACTTGAAAAGCTTTCAGAACGACCAGAGCCACCAAGTCTTCCAGTGATGTCTCGGTCGTAGCTTCTTTCAGCTAAGCGGCTTCTCATAAAAGCTGAGAAGGCTTCCATGAGATCAAAGGTTGGATCACGCTCAACATCTCTGTGAGCTCTAAGCATATCTAAGGGGATACTATGAGGTGTTGCATCGATTTCTTCCACAAAACCTCCTCCACAATAGGGACAGAGAGAGTCTCTACCACGAAGGGATACACCACGTTGACATCTGTGACACCAGTGTGTGTTTCTACCACTTGACATCCTCACAATCTCCTTGTGGCTGGTTCAGACAGAGGCAGGGTACTAGTTAATAGCCTGCAATAGTTCAAGTAGGAGAGATGGTCACCAAACTCGTGCTAAGTTGGTAAACCAAAGAGGTTTTGACCATATCTTTACTTTCTAATCTTCTAGACCCATACTACAAGATCCAAATCTAATTAAATAGGTCACAGTTTAGCAAACGAAAACAAAACATTGGAACACCTGTTTCACCAAAAATAGGAAACACCCATGTGTCTCTCAACATCTAGAAAATGTTAGTTTCAGGTCAGAACATTCTAACTCATAACACATCACTAAAGTCTTAGAATCTAATCTGTGATCTGTCTTATACAAAAGGGAGAGACATTGAATGATAATAATGAAGAAAGTACAATGCAAACGATCTATACAAACCAATCAACACATGTTTTGTATGAATAATCAAGAGAAATCAGATAAATCTAAAGACCAGATCTTAATGCACCTAATATGCAACGAAGCTTTGAGCAAATCAGATCCAATGATCCACATATACAACAAGGAAGACCAGCTCAATGAGTTAGATACCTCACAGAGATCCGAGAAGGAAGACGGAAACTCTAGAGCGAAGCTGTGGTAGAGAGATTTGATACTGGAGGAAGAAGAAGACAATGAGAGAGCGAGCCTGGAAGAAGAATCTCTCCGTCACACTCTATTGAGAGAATATTTGACTGTTAAAAAAAAGTTAAAAAAAAAAGTACCTTATCCTTGATGTAATAAAGGCTTTGTCCCTCTGTTTTGTTCTGTAAGACTGTAAATAGTTTAACTACCACGTGTATTTCTTATTAACCCTAGTATTCTTCGTATTTTACAGTTATGCCACTCTGACAGTTGCCGGCTTTTTGTCACGCTTTCTTTGCTTCCGTCGGAAGGTTACTCTCTCGGTATGCTCATGACAAACCTCATTTCTTTGTTTGTTTGCTTTTTTTTTTCTTTTATCTTACAGATTTCTATAAATAAAACAAAAATAATCTGTCAATGTTGCTGGAACAAATTTTTAAAAATGGAAACTGATTTTTTCAAGAAGTAAACTATACCAAGATAACCATGCGTTAATGATTGGATGGTAGTATGGTGTTAAAGGTGAAATTTCGTATGGATACCACAATAAAATAACTTGAGCAAATCCAAGAAAACTAACTTGTTTTATTAAGAATCACTTAAACAATCTCACAAGATCTGTTTAATCCGGTTTACTCAACGTCACAGCTTGACTTGAGACGGACCAATTCTTAATCTACCCAATGCACAGTGGTCGAGACAGACCTCACCACTTGCTTACACAGAATCACAGCTTAGAACACTGAAGTTCGATAATCCCCAAAAATCCCCAAAAGCCGTAACCTAGCTAATGAACTCTATCACCAATATATACTGACGTATATTCACGATAATCCTCTCCAACATACTCTCCCCCTGCTTGAGTGCACCATTAGATAAAACAGTTGTGAAAAAAAACTTGAAAACAAGTAGAACTTACTTCGACTGCGGAGCTGGATAGCACGGAGATCATTGATGACCTTCTGAAGATCGTCAACCAGATTAGGTGGTTTGGAAACTCCCCCTATTCCTCTGCCAGCTTTCCCGTCCTTGACAAGAGCAGCGGGATGTCCAGTAAGTTCTTCATCAAGTTCACGACGAGGTACAATTCGCTGAAAATGCAGGAGCTGAGAGATGAGAGAAGGAAACCCAATTCTTCTCTTGATGTCATCAGCAGAGTGAGACATCTCCAAGATCTGGTCATACACCAAGATGCCAAAATCAGCTCTCTTGTTGTGATGGAGCGAATAGAGAAACCTGAGGCGATCCGGATGCATGCGCGTGTAATTCATCGTCGGCATCCAATAGGTACAACAGAGTTTGTACAGCACCTGATTGTCAGCTGTGAGGAGTTTAGAGCACATTCCTTCCCATCTTTGATGTCGACCGTCAGTGAGAAATGTAACCACAGTGTCCAGGTTCTCAGAGTACATATCATAGGAAGGATCACCTGGACTGAGACAGCACATGAGATCGATGATGCTAGGTGATACTTCATACATTGCTCCACGAACATAGACCGCAACACCTCCTTGAATGTCCTTTGCATCTCCCAAGTTAGCCATCAATTCCCAAATCAGATCTGGCACATATGGTTCGACATCGATGGCTGTATAAATCATTCCTGAGTGAACCACCACTTCTTTCACAGCCTGAAGCTTCTCAACATCGAGAGGGAGAAAATGCGGATCGATGAACTTCTTGTCTGAGAACTTCAAGTACCTTCCATACGCGGCCTCTGTCGCAAACCGTGAGCTGTAAGGGTCAGTTGGGGGCTCGAACCACTCAAGATTTTGAAGGAAAGTCTCCTCAAATGTTCGACGCCCTTCCTCATATCTCGGTTCTTTGGGGAGGAAGGAAATTGTTTCACACGATTGACGTCTGCTTGATTCACCGGCCTCGGAGCGAGATTTCTTCGGAGTGCTAGAGCTCGGATTGGAGGAAGGAGTTTGTGGAGAGGAAGAAGCACCTTGACGAGACCGAGTTCGTTTATGAATGGTGAGAAAGATGAAACGAGAGAGAGGGTGTACGGCGGCAGCAGTTTTAACCTAATAAGAGGTAAAAACACAAAATAACAACTCCTTTTGCAAGGTCCATTAGTGCCCATCAAGCCCATTACGAAAAAAAAATTCTAACAAGCCCATTAATCCTTTTCAACCGAGTGTCATTTTTTCTTATATCAACTTCTGTGCTCAATATTCTAAGCAGGACACATATGTCAGGTCAGTGAGATCTTCTAGTCTTAATCAAACATGCCTATTCTAAGAACCAACTTCGTTTTGCACTAACAATTGCAAGATAATCTATTTACATGCTCCTAACTACTATTCCAACAAGATTGCAAGTTCACATCTAATCTCACACATGTCTAGGTAACCATCAAGGAAAATCGAATAGAAATCAATATAGTAACTCCATTATGTAGCTATTTCTCAGCTGAGTAGCTGTCACAAACGGATTCATCTAGCTAGATAATCAAGTTCCTATCTCACAAGCTAATCACAATCACACACTTCTGAAATCACCAGTCATGTCTATGAATGTTCACCTCTGCAACTTCAGCGAATCTTTTCAACATTTGCTATATTTTTTATTTTATTTTATTATTAGCACCAAGAACATATTTCAGTCCCTGCCTGATCAAAACAGTGTTCAACATAGACTTATAGTACGGTAATACCCTATTCCACGATGAGTGCTTATCACTTCAGGCCTTTTGAACGATTCTTCTTCTTCTTCTGAACTTCAATCCTTCAAAGACAAAATTCTCTGCCTAATCAAAGCAGTGATCGTCACCAAAAGACAAAGTGTTGTGGCACCCTGATTCAGAACGAGTACTCATCATTTTAGGCCTTAATTGTGTAACACACAATATCAGATGTGTTACACAGGACATAACTAGTGTTTTCTCCATCCACTCCAGACAGTGATCATTCCTTAGTGTCAAAATGTTGTAGCATCCTGATCCAAAGTGAGTGTCCTTCACTATGAGATAGTGTGATCGTGACAACTTATAAAACAGTATCATGACTCTAACTAGACAAACTGTTACTATAAGGTTTTAGGGGAGAAGGTACCTTAGACGCATGCGATTTCAATATGAACTTACCTTCTCGTCAGAGCAGCTTACTTCATTGCTGAAGATCAACGATTCCAAGAGCTTTTCGGAGACCCAAAAAGCTATTAAAATCAAGAGGCTTTGTGAAAATATCAGCAAGTTGATTCTCAGAAGAAACATGTTCAATGACTACAAGTTTTAACTCAACCAACTCACGAACAAAGTGGTGTCGAAGATCTACATGCTTAGTACGAGAATGTTGCACATGATTTTTAGATAGATTTATAGCACTCATGTTATCACAATGGACTAATAAGGGATCAGAATTAATACCATAGTCCACCAGCATTTGTCTCATCCAAAGAAGCTGAGTGCAACAACTTCCCAAGGCGATGTATTCAGCTTCAGCTGTTGAGAGCGACACACAGTTTTGCTTCTTGATGTGCGAAGACACAATGTTGTCACCAAGAAATAAACAACCACCAGAAGTGCTTCTTCGATCATCAACACAACCTGCCCAATCTGCATCACAATATCCTGCAAGGTTCACATTAGTTTCAAAGGTATAATGAAGTCCAAAATCTAGTGTCCCTTTAACACATTTGATGATACGTTTTACCGCTTTTAGGTGTGACTCTTTAGGAGCTGCCTGGTATCGAGCACAAATTCCGACACTCAGACACAAGTCTGGTCGGCTGGCAGTGAGATAGAGAAGACTACCTATCATGGCTCTGTATAGTTTCTCCTCTACCTTTTGTCCTGCCTCATCACGCGATAGCTTGGTTGTTGTGCTCATTGGAGTCCTAGCAGTTTTGCTGGTTTGCATTCCAAATCTCTTTACCAGGTTCTTAGCGTACGTGCTTTGAGAGACAAATATCTCATCCTCCATCTGTCTTATTTGTAAACCAAGAAAGTAGTTGAGCTCTCCCACCATACTCATCTCAAATTCCCGTGTCATAGTCTTCACAAACTCATCAACCAATGCCTTTGAAGTGCTTCCAAAGATGATATCATCCACATACACTTGTACCACCAGCAGATTGCCTTCATCATGTTGAGTGAATAATGTTTTGTCCACCCCTCCTCTGTTGAAACCTTCCGAGATCAAGAACTGTGCTAATCACTCATACCATGCCCTTGGAGCTTGTTTCAGGCCATAGAGTGCCCTTTTTCAGACGATACACATGGTCTGGAAAATGTGGATCCTCAAACCTTTTAGGTTGTGCTACATAGACTTCTTCCTGTAACAGACCATTGAGAAAGGTACTCTTAACATCCATCTGATACAGCTTGATCCTCAACTTACAAGAGATTGCAAACAAGAGTCTGATTGACTCAAGGCGAGCTACTGGTGCAAAGATCTCATCGAAGTCCACTCCCTCAATTTGCGAATAGCCTTGACCAACTAGCCTTGACTTGTTTGTAACCGGATTACCATTCTCATCAGTCTTGATCTTGTATATCCACTTGGTACCAACAACATTAACTCCTTCTGGTCTAGGAATTAGATCCCATACTTGAAGTCTCACAAACTGTTCCATCTCCTCATGCATTGAGGCTGTCCAGAACTCATCATCTAGTGCTTCCTGCAGACTCTTTGGTTCGGTTTGTGAAATGAAGCAATATTCCTTAGCCATCTCAGCCATGAGACATGCAAGCTTGACCATCTCCTTGAAATCGATTTGCTTTTTCCTTGTGATTTTTGGATCCAGCAATCCTCCAATGACATCATCTGAGGAATGATTCTTATGTACCTTGACTGATTCTTGTGATGATCCTTCAGCTTCTTCGTTTGAAACAATCACCCGGTTTTCATCCTCACTGTTGAGTTGTGGTACACACACACTTCGCTGTGTAACAACATCTTGATAAAAGCCAACTCTGTCATCGACGACTACATTCACCTTCTCATCGATTGTTCTTGTCCTTGAGTTATACACCCGGTACGCTGAGCTATTTGTTGAGTACCCAAGAAACATTCCAACATCACTCTTGGAGTCGAACTTTCCAAGATGATCTTTGTCGTTTAGAATGTAACAAAGACACCCGAATACATGACAAAATCCAAGGT